CTTAAAATATTTCCTTCACGCGTGAACGAGCGTGGAAGTTAATTTTGCATACGGAAACACGCGTGAGGTATTATCATTTAACGTGATCTCGAGTGTAACAACATTTTTTATAAGTGTTAATGGCAAAAATCACTACTTTTTCAAATTTTAACTCGTGAACACGGGTAACACACTTTCTGTCACGTGCGAAAATGAAGTAAATTTATGTCATCACTCGTAGCAACTGTTGAAAATCAGTTATTATTTGTGTTGACACTGGAAAGGATAAGTGATTGATCACTGACACGCGTAAAGCATTTAATTGAGGCGTGAACGTGCATTCTCACCGCGCGTGACACAAAACTTTCTGCTAGTGTTCACTGGTGAAAGTTTTAAGTAAAGCTTCGTTCTACAGTTACCACACGCGGATACAAATCTGTACGCGCGAACACGATGCAAATGAATTCAATGGTTGCGTGTTCACTCCCTTGAAAAATGTTCCTCAGCATGCCGACAATCAAACTCTTCATTTTTAGTAGTGAAATCGTGGATAGCGTTCATGCAATGTCAATATAACTAGATGTACATAGCAAAAAGGATAACGAATAACAGCATTTGTGACTGTTGGTAATGACGCGTGAGCATACGGCTTGTAGGAGGAGAAGACCTTAATTTCTTATCTTCGAACGAAAGAGACAATTTATTTCTAACATTATGTGCATTCAATTAAAGTAGGATATTGTAGAAAAAATGTTTCATCTAATATTGAATCGTAGTACGACCCAATTTTTTCCAATACGTTTTCACTTCGAATGTAAGATACTTTTTCGTTTTTGATACGTCCTCGATAGATAAACGGACAATCAATCCCCATATATGATAGATTCGCTAATTTATCGACCACCTTCATTTCGAAATATATTGTTTCGCTGGATACCAGCAAAATATATGGTATATGACGCACAAAACGAACAAACTTTTGCACTAATTTCAGAGATGTACAGTCAGATTCATCAAGTGATGATATTGCCGGTCACTCATTTGGATTTGCCGTCATGCCATCGAATATGCTTAAGACAATGGACGAAAATATTGTTGATTCTAAAATTGTTTTACCCTCGTCACCATTCGTTAATCGTGATGCCGCATCGACTAAGTCTTCAGATTCGTCTGAAAATATTTTTTCCGCGTTATTAACTGCCACCGATGCTAGCGACCTCGACAACGTTTACAACAACAACGATGAAGGACGAAATGCTCGACCACCTATGAAAAATTCAAGCGATATTAACGACTTTGCCTTCAATTTGAATAGTCCTTGCTCGTCACCAGCATTTTCTCCTAAACGTTCACATCTTACATCTGACAGCAGCTATTCTTTGTCCAAGGAAAAAATCCCAACAACTAGACGAAAACGAGTCAAGTCTTCGCCAACAAATTCAATCAAAAATCGGAATCTACCATTCAGCCGGGAATATTGTACAACCACTATTGGAAATCTCAAGCTCACGTGGCCACCATACGGGATCAAAGATGCATTTTATGCCGGTGAATATTTTTCGGTATTTCATACTTGTTCACTCGATACGGGCTTATTCGTTCTTTATCATGCGTACAAAGCTGGAACCGATGACTTCCGTCAGCTTTTCGAAATCGATACTCTTGAAATCTATGCATTTCTCCACCGTACGTTTCAATTGGTCGAAAGTAATGGATGGAATAGCGCTCGTCTCTATTGGCTCACTGGAAAAAAACTTCTCAAAGAGAAAACAAAAGACGGAAAATATGACCTTAAAAGTACTATGGATGAAGTTGTTTTTAAATTTGTTAAACCAATGCAAACTTTTCCAATTCAGTCCAAATGTACTTGTACCGCTTGTCCGAAACCACTACGCGAACATACGAGTATGGAAATCTCGTTAACGTAAGTTACTATCAAATGAAAATTACTATTTGAGAAGGAAATCAAGCTTTACAGTTGAAAGAACAATGTTATTCTTCAATGAACTGTGTGACAAGAAGAAGTGTAAACGCAGACGAGACACATTCTTTTCACTTTAATTGCTGCTCCAATTATGTATTCAACATTTCTGGAAGACAATGAGAAAAAGAGAACGTGTATACATATATATGGTCACATAAAGAAATGAGCAAACAACAAGGCGATGGAGAAACTCATGTAGGAAGGAGAGAAAATAGACAAGAGTGTATGATATGTGGTTAATTGATTAGTGTCTAGAAGATGATCGGCAGCACGAAAGTGCTAGAAATATACACACTCGCATTGACGAAGAACAGTACAGTGATCAGCTGTTTTACACTGCTATTTTAGCATATCTCAGCAGATGACGCATATAACATAGTCACGTGGTGTCGAGAAATTATTTTTCGTCTGTAACTTAAATGTGATTGATTAATTGATTGATACATTGTATGTATAGGAAAGTCAATAAAAAGTTTCTACACTTCATACCAGCTCTCGTCGCTGATCGTGAACCTCCATGTGGTGTTAATCTTGGCTCCGTTGAACCGATGGATTATCCAGCAACTTACATGGTCGACGAACGATATCCGGTCATTGATCAAGAAACCAATGAGACACGATTAGAGTAAGATATCATTCCATTGTCACCCTTAAAAAAAAATGAACTTTGAAATTTAGAACACGTTATATTTGCTACGCGACCCGCATAGTTGCGACAACACGACTGACTTATATAGCACCATTCGTCATCGTCAACGTCGAGAATGAGACATCACTGATGACAGAACTACCAGATCCTCTATATATCGACTAATATATGTAAGTTGTCTCCCCTTTTTCGACACACTTTTCAATCTATTTTACGCATAGATCTTGCCTTTCTGCTGGTATTAACAATACCAACGAGCATTATCAAAGCAGGCAACAACACCTATTATCGCTTTAACGACATGCATCCTTCAGGCTGTTTCATTCATGACGGTCGTCTACGAGTAGACTTGGCCATCTACACTTTGAAGGTTTAATTGATGCTTGATAAATATAAACACATTCGAGCGTTTCTAATCGTTTGATAGTATTGACAGAACCACTTATTTAATTTTTTAAGCGTACAGTCAAAAGAATGTCGCCTTCTCAACTATTATCAAATCATTGTATCATCTCTCATTTTTTGCCAACACTGTCTACACATTTATTTTTCTCCTATTTTTGTTAAATTCGGCGCGACCAATCAGATGTATTTTAGTAATGCTCACCGATTTCGAAAAACACTTCATTATGTAAATTTCATTGAATGATAAGCAACAGAAACATAGTAAAAACACTGAATAACATTACAACACAATCTAAATATTGTGTTATGCAGGAACTTCCGCCCATGGTCGGATATTAACAAGAAATACCTCGAAAAACTAGGTACAGAATCAGTATTTAAGGGTTGAACCCCATTTTTCGCTCGATGGACGAATATTAGCAAGAAATACTCGAATCCGCTGCTAGGTTTACTTACGTATCGTTATAGTCGTTTATTCCTTGCATGGCATTTCGCTATATTCGAATATAATGTGACCTGTTCTGTGCCTTACGTCTGAATGTAGAGCTCACCTACTTGATAACTAAACGAAAGGAAAGAAAAGGAATAGGTTACGTAAGAAACGGTTAAAGCAAAATGGCAGCTTAACGTCTAAACGAAATGTTAGATTCTTAACGTAAGAAA